TCCGCTCCCTCCTTCCCTCCTCCTGGTTTCCTGACTGTCCTCAGGTCACAGAGCATCTTGAAAGAAAACTAACAACTGAGCTCCTTAAACAGCATTCTAGTTTAATCTGTTGCTGACACCTAGTAAGATATACAATTTACTTCCTCTTCTTCTCTTTTTTCTCACTATATGTTCAACAGGTGATTTTCTTTGGCTGAGAGAATAGATCCAAATCCATGTTTTAAATCAACATTCTGTAAAATGACTTTTTTCTTAATAAAATACAGTACTTACTTTCTATTTGTCCATTCAATGTATTTTTTTCTCCTAGACCTGCAGCTCCAGATAAATGATCAACACGGTTCGGTAGCTGAATCGCAGAGATATTCTGTTAAAATTAATATTAATAATGAGTTGCATAAAGATTTCCTTATCCCTTTCTAAGAAAATACCTGTGTTTCCTACCTTATTATTATTTTTTTAATTTCCTACTTTAAAAGCAATTAGACTTAAAAACAAAATAAGCATATCCTGGAAACCCAAACATTTAAATAGAAAATTTCATAGACACTCTTTAGATCAAGTCTATCTTTTACCTTCAGTTGGCTTTTGACTCTGTAAACTGAGCATGGAAAGCTAGAGCAAATATTTTCACAGACAAAATACTGACTTACATGCAGACTTCAACAAAGATTTAACTTCAAAGCACCTAATTCCATTTTGCATTCCTCGACAAAAGAAGAGGACGTTTAAAAAAATACGTATTTTTATATGTATAACTTAATTGCTTTCCAGTAACTTGAAACTAACAGTATAAACTGACTACACTTCAATAACAAATAAAATTAAAATACATATTTAAATATATTCTTTAGTAAGTGTGCTATAAATTTAAAATGTTTCTTAGAACAGATATTGTTTTTAGCATTATAATAACATACACGGCATGAAAAGAAGCCTTGGAATCTGTCATGTTGAGTATTAACAGAACACTGTGGAAACTGCTACATTTCAGTAAACAAAGGCTTAGCAGAATCGATTATTTGATAAAACTTATTGATAGGGAAAATAGTTGAATAAAGTACCAAAGTAGAAAGAAAAACATTTGTTTAAATTAACAGCAGAAAAATTTGAAATGTAGCTGTGCAGCTCTTCAAAAAAGTACCATAAGCTTTACTTTACTTAGGGAAGAATAAGAACACTGTTTAGTGACCACCCGCATGTGCCAGGCCCTTATGATGCACATTCTCTTTTCTACACGCAACAATAATAAAAGTGATTCTAAGGACGGTTACCCACTTGCTGCTTCCTGGTCACTCCAAGATGCTGGAGTACCGTGATGAGCAGATGTGACCCGCTGTTATCTCTG